CTCACCGGACCAGGCTCTCACATCACCAAGCGCGAAGCGCCGTGAGATATTCGGCGAGTCGCATGAAGGGTGCCCTGCATCCTGCTAAGGGTGTTAGGCATCTTGTGCTTACTTCGTTGCGTACGGATGACAGCTACGTATGACTGACTCAACTATTTTTCTGGTGCTTCCACTTCCAGAGACAGTTGTAAGCACTGTGTAACTGCCTCGAGGGTGCTTGACCATTTTAACACAACGTGGTGCGATCATCCCCCTTGCTCGGAGTGAGGGTTCTCGACCCCGCATAACATGATCTACTCGACCACCATTTACGTCGTTGCCAAGCGACGAAAACCCAACCCCGATGGCAAACACCGGGGTCTCGAAATTGTGCCCGTCTGATGTTCGTTGCGCAGCCCGAAGCACGTTGCCGGGAATTGCAACTGGCTGCAGCAGTTCGCCTTCCCGTTGCTGGCGACTGTCATCCAGGCGCCCCTCCGAGGTTTCGTTCCGTGTAAGTGTCATATCTCCATCGTTAACCGTCTACTACATAGATAACGCCATCGATTGTTCGCCAGTGCCATTTACTCGGACATGATACTGTTTTCAACATCACACCAGACGCGGGAAGTCACCCGATGTGTCCAGTGTCTAGGGTTGGGAATAGGGTCATTCTGTGGTTGTCAAACTACGGCGTTATATGTCGCAATTGTCTGCAGCGGTTCCTGTGTGGCCTTTGTGGTGTCTTGTGCCTGTCCTACCGCAACCAATCATGTATGTCACAGTCTTGTCGGGTGAGCCTGGGTATCTTGACGTTGTGATGGGCCCATTGTTGATGTGTATGACGCACGTCGTGTGCCACGCGTGATTATCTCCGATTTTTGCCCGTTATGCTCATGGAGGTCCTCGGGGCGGAAAATGTGTGCGTGTCAGCAGCAGTGTCACGCAGGGCTCTCCCGGCTTCTACTTCCCGAGGGCCCTTTGTACCGCAGACCACAGCCTTACGCCTACATACGGAGCTTCGTGGACACACACCCTGTTCCACCCGCTGTTCACCTTTCGGCCTGGGCGTACACACCCAGCAGTTCATGTGGTTATGACGATAATGTCCAGTGCGGACTACCGCCCTAACTTCAACGACGCGCCTGGTTGGCGGCACCGGAACGGTGGCGTTCTGCCGGAGCTCAACCACTTTCTGTCATTGTCCTCCGACACGGCCGCCGGAGCGCATGCCCTAGCCGTTGCTGCCTTTGCCGATATGGTTACAGCCGCGCGTAAGAGCTTGGACAAAGCGCAAACCGCCGTGGCACAAGCTCAAGAGGCGCCGGATCTGCAGGAGACTCTTGTCGCCGACATGAGGATCGCTTTGAGGGAGGTACGAAGAAGGGTTCCATGCCGTTGGTGTAGTTGTCTCTGCTGTTGTGGGTGGCACTGCTTCCACTTCTTCCGAGACACCTGCCCACTCCATCGCGTGCACGCTTGTTGACCTTAGGGTGTTTGTCCCTTCGTGCACCTCCAGGCTCGCGACATGTTGAAGATGCACGAAGAGAACCACGCACTTCTCACAGGCACCTACTTCGTGAGTTGACTACCCGTTTGTGTGTGATCGAATCTAATTCTCCACAATTGCCAAATCCTTGGCCTAGTTTTCTGGCGGCTAAGTTTGGTTGTGATTGTCGTCTAGTGCTGTAGCTATGCANAGAACCACGCACTTCTCACAGGCACCTACTTCGTGAGTTGACTACCCGTTTGTGTGTGATCGAATCTAATTCTCCACAATTGCCAAATCCTTGGCCTAGTTTTCTGGCGGCTAAGTTTGGTTGTGATTGTCGTCTAGTGCTGTAGCTATGCATAGATGCCATGATCAGCACGGCTTCTTGCCACCGATCGAGGAAACTTGGAGCGTTTGTTCAAACAGAACTCCCGATGACAACCATGTGCGGCCGCCATCAGGTCCCATTAGCTTCAACAGGGGCGGCGGCTAACGTCGAACAGGAAGCCCACAACAAATGCTTGGTGAGACCCTCGTTTGTGGCACAGGGGCCGATATTCCAGTGTACCTTTCGATGCAGCAGACATTGAGGATAACGTCGCTATGTTGCCGCGCAGGGGCCGAGATTCCATCCTACCTTTTGGACGTTGGAAGAAGCATAAAGCGAGGAATTCGTGGCCACTAAGAATGCAAGTGGAGTCTCCAATCACTCGCGTGCGTGGTCATGTTCATGCCTTCCTCACAATCATCCTCAGGACGAAGAGTCCGTGGAGCGGAAGCGGAGGGAAGAGGTGTCTGAGGCCGAGACGCGCTCCCGAAGGCGCAAACAACAACAGGGGGCGGCCGACGGCGGGAAGAAGGGAGAGGGTGGGGGTTCTGGAGTGGGTAGTGGGGGCAAGCTAGCCGGCAGCGACCACGACAAGCACAAGCCTGGCGAAACGGGTGGAAGTCAACAAAGTGGGGGTGGTGGAGATGGCACTGGACATGGACAAGACACCATGGACCACGAGAAGGGGAGAAACGGTGGAACATGCGGCCCAGAGGAGCCGCGTGGAGGAACCGGCAAGGGTGGCGACGACGTGCCCGAGGGGGGCAAACGGCAGGCGACTAAGGACGGGCTTTCAACGGGTGCGCCGGCAGGGGACTGCGGCGGGGCAACTGACATGGAGATCTGTCGATTACGAAGGAAATCTCATAGGTTTCAGCGGCTCGCACTCGCTCGAGAGGGGAGGGTGAGTGGGAGGTTCATCAGTGCCCCCCCGTTACGTGAAGTGGTAACGGCTTCGTCAAGTATCATAAACGGCATAAATCGGAGCGCTTGTAGCTTGCGAATCCACCCTCACCGCAGGGAGGGGACCCCCCCCCCCCCC